ATTAGGTCACTAGACAGAGCTGCAAATCAGTGAAAACGTGCATTATTGTTATTTCATGATTTGTTCCTGAATTTGGCAGTGAAAATGTGAGGGGCTCTGGAGGCCACAAAAAAGACCCAAGCCACAAGTTGACCATTCTGATTTAAACTGTTTATAGAGAAGGATTGCAAAGGGGATCATATTCTGAAGCAAACTATTAACAGTTGTATTCCCTTCAATAATACAACTGCAAAATGTCCATTAGTTTCAGAAACATATTCCAGAAGTGTTATGGAAGTGTAGTGTTGTGATGACTCTATAGCAAATATGATTGATTTCAACTGGAGTCTGCTCCTTTGCAGCATTCCTAAAAGTGATCTCTGCAGTTGAAACCCTGAGCCTGCTAAATCAGTTGAAAACCTTAGTATTTAGTTCACTTGGTGCTCTTCAATCCATCAAGATATTCTTAGCAGAGTGACATGTTTGTTCAAGGAAAGCACAGAAATGAACACTAATGGCTTGAGACATTAGAACTAGACTGACTGCACCACTACAAGGAAGAAGAAGGAAAAAAGAGCTAGTTTGGTGTAGTGGTGAAGGTGCTGGTCTAGAAACCAGGAGGCTGTGAGTTCTACTCCCACCTTAGGCATGAAAGCCGGCTGGGTGACTTTGGGCCAGTCGCTCTCTCTCGGCCCAACTCACTTGACAGGGTTGTTGTTGTGGGGACAGTAGGAGGAAGAAGGAGTATAAGGTATCTTCACTGTTTTGAGTTATTTATAAAAATAATAAAGGTGGGATAAAAAAATCTTTTAAAAAAGAGAACAATCTTATCATAGCTGCCAGGTAATAGATGAGATGACAGAAGAAGTCTTTTCATCTATAGCATTTATATTACCCTATCCGTCTTGCAAGTGTTGGGTCACAGTGTTAGCAAATTTTCACTTAGGAGGCCTCAGATGAAAACAAAAGACAGAATTAGTATTGGTAGGCTTGGCAAAGATAGAATGTGAGTCCCCAGGAGTTTTCTTCTAAAAGTACAGTGGTACCTTGGGTTACGAACGCCTCTGTTAACGAACTTTTTGGGATACGACCAGCTCCGGCTGCAAAAATTTACCTTGGTTTGCAAACTCCGCCTCGGGGTACGAACAGGATACACGGCCATTTTCCCTCCCGTGACACAGTCTGCGGCCATTTTTCTGCCCCTGACACGTGGTCCGCGGCCATTTTCCGCCCCTGACACGTGGTCTGTGACCATTTTCCACCCCCGACACATGGTCGAAGGGAGGGGGACTCTCCCTCCAA